AACAATTGTAGTTTTTTGTTATAATTATATTCATAGTATATTTAACTGTTTGCAGTAAATAAGAATAAGAACATTTTGCGTAATTCTCTAGCTAACTTGACTGCCATTGTAAGTAGAGTAGACGCATAGTTCTGAATTATTATTATAACTGATTAGCTGGAATCCCCAGTGACGTACGACCATTGATACGCTACCTGGAACAGTTTGCCTTACATGGAAATCTTACCAGAGACAATTAGTACAGGTGTTGTACTTAACGACCAATCATACACAACAAGGAAGTCAAAGTACAGGTGGAACATTTATCACTGGGAGGTGTATATATAGCACGTTATGCATCTACTCACTATACCAAGAAACGACACAACACGGACTGTGAATAAAAAGGCCACCCTCAAAGATGGTGACTAAGTATTTATTTAGGAAATTTGAGGAAATTTTTATAGAGAAATATAGCTTAAAAATTCATAAATATAATGTACATGAAACTTGTAACATATCATACATGTCATAAACAGTCAATGTGGGGTAGCACTGTATGTACTTCTAATGGCTCCTGGTTAGTAACCGTTCAGATTGGAAACAGAATCGAATACAAATATGGATTGTTATGAAAGTGGTGCCAATTTGATGCAATGTCAAATTGGTGTTTTATATATAAGCAACCGAAGCGACTCTGCATCCTTTTCCCGTTCAATATAGATAACCTAGGTTAATGGGATGGCGAACGATATCTCTGTCATTGAAATACGCTCCATTGATCAGATTGTGTCGTTAACAAACGACTGAATCAAAACGTTTAATAGAATGAGGTAAAACTGACCATAAAAAAGAAAATCACAAAAACAATTCGCAAGAATACACCTGCCTAATCCGTTATATACGCAGAATTCATAAACCCAACATGAACCACCCTTCCATTGGTATAGACATTTCAACACAGTTTTCTCAGGACTGCTGGCTTTACAAAGAGCGAAGTTTTAGCATGTACTAAACGTTATACATGTGTATACACAAAGCAATACAATCATGAAACGTAGTCATTGGGTATGACTTTACATAATGATATGAAATGTCAGGCAGTTAACATACCTACCGGCTTTACTAACTGTAGCTTGTGTTAGTTTTTTAAGCCACATAAAGGATGCTTACTTCAATATGGATGGCGTATGTTCAATATTTATGTAACATTTACAATGTCTGATAAAACTTATTAACTCATAAGAGTTAGATTGGACTAAATGTTAACATTATACCATTAACTGTATAAATGATATTCTTTACCGAGTATGTGGCGCTAAGCCAACCATTGCACCCACTGAGTATTACATGAATGATTCTTTGTTATTGCACTGTTAACAGTTCTCGGAAAGCATAAGAATTCGCTCCCATTGTTTGTGATGACGTTGTTTACGAGGACACATTTAAGTTTCCGGGTGACCTGTTTTTGCGGTTTTGCTAATCAGATTGGATCGTACATTGGTCAATAGCTAAAATGAGACTAAATTTGCTATTTCTTCATCGCTCCTCCGTTGTAAGTGTTATTGTATAACAGTTCAAAAACGGTACTATAAATTGATAAGTAAAATAACAATGAATTTTCGTTATGGTCAAGCACTAATCTCATATGATTTTCAGTTAACAATATCAGACATTGAAAGGGTGTTTGGATAATGCGCTCCCAAATATGTTCAAAATGTCGCTATGACCCTTTATCAAGGTCCCATATTGCAACTGTGTCAAAAGTTTAACCCACTTCTTATTAAAAGCCAATAGTTCAATAGGTTTTATTTGAAACGAACTTCATTTAAATGAATGACCTTGATTCTAACTACAGGATTGGAACATCTAATTATTATTTTCGTTTTTCTCACACAACTTATTGCAATATGTTGTATATCGTCGCCTCCTGTATTTAGAAAAGAGACAACAGTTTTGCCATCTCTAATCCTAAAATAAATGTCTTTCTAGCACAAGGTATAACCGTGTATAATAATCAGTCGTCATTTCTGTTTGGATAAGAACCTTTAGAAACGAATGAGGTAAACACAACAGTACAAGGAATTGTGCCAGGCAGCGACGTCAAATCACTTCGGCTTTACTTCAGAGGGTCAATATATGATCATTATACTTGACATTATGTATTAACCATGCTCTGTTTAGTTTATTGTTGTTTCTGTACAGTTATCTGTAAACTGTTGCTAAAACATTAAAGGTCCAAGGGCTGCTTTGTTCTACTTTGCTTGGCATGATTTAAACTTCCGGGTAATTACGTACCACCCTGTTGCTAAAAATTGTCTATAACCAATAACCCTATACCTAGAATGAAAATCGATATACATATTACTCCTGGTTGTTTTTTAAAGTTTAAAAACTGATAGGATACACGAAACCATTAATATTTTACCACATGCAGAGCGAAATTTAAACACAAAATGGAAATTTCCATTAAATCACACTCAATACGCATGTTTTATTACCTTAAATAAACTAATTAATAATGCCAGGTAAAATCAATCTTATAGATATATTTCACACAAGTCTCTCCAATAAAAAACAGAAACATGCTTGTACACAACGAGAAACAGAAACACAATAACTCCATATCAGTAAAGTTTATTAACCTCATGAGTGAACATACAAAATCACGACGTTGTGACCTACCGATATAATAATGATGTCATTAATTTGAATAAATAATTATGATGCTATGACAATATTGATTACAGTAATCTTTTTTTCGTTAGGAGGCTTTACCAAAATATATAAATAAATAAACATATAATCTTGATTATAAACCTCCGGCGAATTAGGTTAGGAATCAATTAGCCATTAAATCAATCAAACATAAAAGAACTAAGCAAATTCCCTGAAACAGGCCCTTAGCCATTTACCTGAAATGACATATTTACATTTTAAGTAAAGCCAGGTGATTGTGGACATTTTCAGAAACGTCAGGTGACGTCAACGCGACATCTTTTAGAAACTAAAATAATATTCCCATTGTCCACATGAATTATTACCTGGTTTATAGGTTCACTCGCTGAATGCGTTGGCCACGAGGGGATTCGAAGTTCATGGTCAATTGTCTTAACCCTGTGTAGTCCCCTTAAGACAACACAATAAACAAGAGCTTTGTGTAATACATTGCCTTTAAAAATAGTTTAATTGAAATGTCCGGATATATGGTGTTGTTCAGAAATCTTCGCAATCAACTCTGTTGTAATGTTATTTATTTAAACATAGTAACAACAGATACTGGGATTACATAAGTGCGGAACTAGTTTTATGCATTGGAAATATTGATAATGTTAATTCAGCAACCTTTTACTACTATTATAAATAAAAAAAACATTGTTTAGATTAGATTATTATCTAGAACGTCTATCAGTGTAGTGTAACATGATCATAATCAGGACGATACAAGGCACCCGACGCAGTGTTACTCGTGTAACATGCCAATGTTCTGTTGTTACTGGTATTACAGAACAATACGCCATTGTTACTAGCATTATGCCACGGATTCCATTGTTTTATCATACCATGACAATCTTACGTTGTTACTATCGTAACAGATGTTTCATTGATTCATACGTATATACGAATGTTTGATTGTTACATGGATAATAATAGAAAATGACATCATTACTACATGTAGCATCACAATAAATATTTCATGTATATAAGCATAACAGGAGATATTCCATCGGTCTCATTGATGGTTTTATTGATACTAGAATAACAAAAGATTGTTTCGTTGTTATAGCATACAAAAGAATGTTTCATTGTTACTAGACTTACTAGCATACCAATAGATTGGTTTCTTGTTACTTAAATTACAATAGAAGGTTTCATTTTCACTAACATAACAATACAATGGTTCATTATGACTGGCATAACAATAGATTGTGTCAGTGTTTTAATATGAAATAGCATTACTGCATTCTAAGGAAAATAACAGCAAGTATCTACTGTAATAAACGTCGACGTATCAGATGATGAGGAATGTTCTCTAGTGTCAAAAAGTGACGTAGTTACTAACATGAGTTGGAAATGACAGCAGGTACATGTACTTTGGTAATGAACAATTGTAGTTTTTTGTTATAATTATATTCATAGTATATTTAACTGTTTGCAGTAAATAAGAATAAGAACATTTTGCGTAATTCTCTAGCTAACTTGACTGCCATTGTAAGTAGAGTAGACGCATAGTTCTGAATTATTATTATAACTGATTAGCTGGAATCAATCCCCAGTGACGTACGACCATTGATATGCTACCTGGAACAGTTTGTCCTACATGGAAATCTTACCAGAGACAATTAGTACACGTGTTGTACTTAACGACCAATCATACACAACAAGGAAATCAAAGTACAGGTGGAACATTTATCACTGGGAGGTATATATATAGCACTGTATGCATCTACTCACTATACCAATAAACGACACAACACGGACTGTGAATAAAAAGGCCACCCTCAAAGAGGGTGACTAAGTATTTATTTAGGAAATTTGAGGATTTTTTATAGAGAAATATAGCTTAAAAATTCATAAATATAATGTACATGAAACTTGTAACATATCATACATGTCATAAACAGTCAATGTGGGGTAGCACTGTATGTACTTCTAATGGCTCCTGGTTAGTAACCGTTCAGATTGGAAACAGAATCGAATACAAATATGGATTGTTATGAAAGTGGTGCCAATTTGATGCAATGTCAAATTGGTGTTTTATATATAAGCAACCGAAGCGACTCTGCATCCTTTCCCCGTTCAATATAGATAACCTAGGTCAATGGGATGGCGAACGATCTCTCTGTCATTGAAATACGCTCCATTGATCAGATGGTATCGTTAACAAACGACTGATTCAATGCGTTTAATAGAATGAGCTAAAACTGACCATAAAAAAGTAAATAACAAAAACAATTCGCAAGAATACACCTGCTTAATCCGTTATATACGCAGAATTCAGAAACCCCACATGAACCACCCTTCCATTGGTATAGACATTTCAACACAGTCTTCGTGGAACTGCCTGCTTTACAATGAGCTCAGTTTTAGCATGTACTAAACGTTATACAGGTGTATACACAAAGCAATACAATCACGAAACGCAGTCATTGGGTATGACGTTACATAATGATATGAAATGTCAGGCAGTTAACATACCTACCGGATTTACTATCTGTAGCGTGTAATAACGTGTGCGTGTGTGCCGAGGAGGAGGATGTTGAGAACATTTTGCATCCTGGTTACGTGTCTGTTCTTTGTCAGTGGACAAGAAGGTAAATTTCTGTTTTACCAATACATTGACAGACGTTATTCACTTGACAAATGTTTCTTTTGCATTGCTCTCTCTGATATTAAATATCTGTTGAATAGTTTATATTTAACGAAACAAAATATAGAGCAAAGAAATCAATTGTTTTTTATTGCTGATATGGGTTTGTTGGTTTTTGTATGGAAATCCATTTTTTAACCGTTGAGGATACACATACTTTTTTAATGTTGATGAGATAGTGGTAATTTCTCTTAACATGTATTGTATTTTAAGGGTTATCATAACAACTTCCTGTCATTGTTTAACTGTATTTAAATAGCCAAATTGAATATGTAGGTAAGAACGTGGTTTTTATTGAACATTATTTTGTTATGTTTGGTAGACTTGAAATTTCCATATTAATAAATGATTAGCTTTGCTAGCTAGGACAATGGCCTTTATATAAATTGGTGCAAACCAATATACTTCACAAACATGCTTATTTCCGTTTATCATAAGGAACCCATAAATGTTCTACATGTTAGGATACAATCCATTAATGGCTCAAGCTACATGTTAATGTAAAACCTTGTCTTTTTATCGTGATATCATATGTTGTACTTATTGAAAAATGTCAATTGATTTTTAAGATGAACAAATAAACACAGCGTGGTAAAAATATCTCAATAGTGAGCATAAGGTCTATACAACGGCTGAATATCATAATTGATTGGTTTATTTTATATTCAATTTTTCCTCGTTTCCTGATGTGGTCTTTTCGCATAATGTTTTGCCTCGATTTCGCCATGATATTTCTGTAGTTTTTGTTGCTATTTTTATTTCATTTTGACAATGAAGATTTTTTTTTACATATATTTCCCTTTTTGCTGTAATTATATGAAATGTTACGTTTCGGAATACTTTAGACATGATTTTTCTTAGTTTAATTCATCTAACTAAATATTTACTTTGTTTGGCTTCTAATCGACTTGTTTAATTATAAAACAAACCTGGTATAGTACAAGTATATAACTGAAGTCATAGTCATATCCCTATTGTTAGAGTTTATTACCTATAAGTTTGTCATACATAATAAGTAATATTTATTTAAAAAAATTATTTTACAAACGACTGTGAATAATGTTTGTGTCTAGAATAAATATATTAAGAGTCTATTTCAATAATGCAGATTATGTGATGGACCATTCCTTCTTTTGTAGTTTTGTGTGTTTGACCTACTTCAGATTTGAGTAACTTGGTTACAAATCGTTTGCGTTTAGCATGTGATGTCTATAAAGTGAAACAAATGTAGAGAAAATCCATGGTTAATACGTAATATGAATATGTCATAAGTTTCCCTTCATATTAAATGTATGATACTCTTTTGAAAATAAATCTAAAATGAATGGAAACTTATGACAGTTCTCCATCTTTATAACTGTAGAAAAGGTATATGATTATAGACGAACGACATTGATATAGTTATAGACTTGTGATATTAATATAAGTATAGACTAAGGATACTTATATATAAACGGTTAAATATAGAATAGCTACAATAACCCGCTGGAGAGAAGCCAAAGTTTGTTATTTGCAATAGAAACACCGCCCCTTGTTATTTGCAATAGAAACACCGCCCGGGCTTTAATCTGAGTGTTCAACCGAACTGAAATAAGTTATTTCTATAGCATATTATGATTTTGATTCTAAGGCTTATAGGTACATACATATTTACATATAGTAACCTTCCCTCGAAACAAAATTAGAATGGATGCTCGTGCTTTAGGGATACAAAACTGAAGAAAATATCACAATACGTTCATAATTTGCCAAGTTATTATAATTTGAAGTAAGCAAATACTACAGCCCTTGTTATTTACAACACCAGGACTGCCTAGGCATTACTAGCGGTGTTAACTTAATTAAAGTACTTAATACGATATAAAAAGAAACTGTGAATCCGGCTCATTCTAGAAATATTAATGCTAACAATTTGAAGTAGAATATAGCAATTTCATGTCTTTTACGTTATGAACGTTTTTTGAGTGATTATTTTTATGATTAACAGCTGATCCCTGCCTCCCTACGACGTACCGAGCTATAGATCACCCATGGCGGTCTACGAGTAATGTCGTCACCTCTAGTACTGCGCAGTGTGATTCTAGCTTAGTGGTGAAATGGTACCGTTCCACTTCCGGTGCCGGTGGAACCATGCCAGCAACTCGTCCTGATTTAAATGCATGCGGCACAGTGTATCCTTTATGGATGGACGACGGTAAGAATCAATTTGTATTAAAACAAAATAGGATGAGGAACAATAAATCACTTTATAGTAAATGAAATAGCAGTACTTAACCCAACATACGAGCCCATACACGACCAATTAGTAAAGGTTGACGGTTGGCTTCAAAAGATTAAAAGGTAAACGAGGGAAACATAAATAACACATATTAAAATAAACGCTATTTGTTGGACTTGGTCCATATCGGATGGAGAGTATCCCCCTATTTGCCACGGAGAAGGAGTGCGATTTGGGGTGAGGATTGGCGCGGTTGTTCATTTGTATATATGTGATACAAATTTGAAATATGAACAGAAACTCAGTAATACATTTGAGGTTTACTTATTAAATTTCAGAGCTGCCAAATGCTGGGGAGACAGCAGAAATAAAGATGTGTATACGTACTCCGTTTACGTCGTGCCAAGATACCTGGAATATACGGGTGAAAAACTGCAATACGTTTTATGTTTACGAATTGCAGCAGGCACCAACGTGTCCATCAGCTTATTGTTTCGGTAAATATGTACAATGTCATATCTAAGAATAACTTAATAGTACTAACAATACATGTTAAAGACCTTCTATGTCATTTGAAAATTACTCTAAGGCACCTTACAATAAATGAATAAGTGTATTCCTACAGATATAAATATAGTCGACAAAACAGCATACACAACAGCATACACAACAGCATACAAAACAGCATACACAACAGCATACAAAACACCAATGTACACAGAATAGTATCTCTTGGTTTTCAAATTTTTACCTGTGACGTAAAGTCAACATTATTGTTAAATATTTAAACCGCTAACATCTCTTTAGGTGATATTGTTTATTAATCCTATCTAGCTGAGGATATTATCGTTCTGCACATTTCATTTTTTTCGGCCGCATGCAATTGTACATTTGTTTGAAATAATTTTAGTATTAATCAATTTTATGCTTACTTTACTTTATATTATAGGAATAAAAGAGAGAGAAAATGTATAACATATGACTTTCCTTTTAGGCGACAAAGCCCCGTGTCCTGATGGTCAGACATCAGACACCGGTTTCACGCCTTGTACAGGTATGTAAAACAAACGATACATAATGTAACACATACCACTAATTTCTAGATAAAGTTGTTTAATAACTTCGTATTACAAATGGTAGATAATAGTTAAAGGAGATCATTTGATTTCAATAATAATTCGAATGTTCAATCCGTTTAATTTTATCAAAATGCTTATTTGACGGATACACACTTTTTGTTTACCTGTTGACAAGGTGTTGCGCTTTTACACTAACATAATATTTGAGTGTTATGAAACGCCTGAAATTGGCGACGATTGGCTTCATATTTACCATGGATTCAAGGTAAAACATTATATCTTTTATTTTGTTTTGTATACCTCGTTGAAATTGTTTACTCTGCGAAGTCAGTTAATATTCAATGATGATATGATCTTTCTGTTAATATATATACTATAAAATTACATAAACTTTCACAAAATTATAGTTACATTACAAGATAATTTAGATAATATAACAATGCAGTACGTATATGTTTTTATTCGCAGAAATTTCGGTGAATATCTCTGGGATAAACTTATCACCTAACAGAACGGCTGATCTCGTAGACACGACAATAACCTACGAATTAGGACTCGCAATCGCAAAAGTGATAGAATTCCAATGTAACATTGACGTGACTAGGACCTAACGACGTTTTGGTTTGATGTGCAGTGGATGATTAACGACAATGTTGTGGAAACATATGCTTACGTGTCTTACTCGGCTTACCAGGACACCGCGTTACAGGAGACAAGCTGGACGGAAACATACAGACTGGGATTTCTGGTAAACATTTCTGATAATTTCTACTTCATTTCAATTTTTATTTTCATTGACAAAGAATTAATATTGTAATTCCAAATTGTTCTTTAAAGATTAAGAAAAGATAAACGTTGTATTTATATTTGACATTTACTTTAAGACCGGTCTTTTCATACATTCATTTTGCTAAAACATATCCAGTTACAATATAAATAGTTTAATAAAAAAAAAGTGGATTTTGAGAGAGAGCGGAAGCGGATACTTCCATTGATGTTTTCTACAGACATGTTAATTAGTTATATCAAAACCTATCTTAGTGTAGTTAAAGCTTCATTTACACAGATCATATTCAAATGTATGTATAGCCCTATCGTTAGCCAAGTTGCAATATCTTATCAAAGCAGTAACTTTTGCACTTTTTGCCAGTAATTCATATCAGAGATTTTTGTTTTAAATCTCTGCTGTAGGTGAAATGTGCAGTACGATTACGCGCGACTTTGGATAGTGGACCAGGCTCTTACACTTACAGTGAGCCATTCTACGCCGGAATACAGGTAACGCTAATAACGACGTTATATAAAGTATTTACAGTTACATACAGGTAACGCTAATAACGACGTTATATAAAGTATTTACAGTTACATACAGGTAACGCTAATAACGACGTTATATAAAGTATTTACAGTTACATACAGGTAACGCTAATAACGACGTTATATAAAGTATTTACAGTTACATACAGGTAACGCTAATAACGACGTTATATAAAGTATTTACAGTTACATACAGGTAACGCTAATAACGACGTTATATAAAGTATTTACAGTTACATACAGGTAACGCTAATAACGACGTTATATAAAGTATTTACAGTTACATACAGGTAACGCTAATAACGACGTTATATAAAGTATTTACAGTTACATACAGGTAACGCTAATAACGACGTTATATAAAGTATTTACATTTAAATACAGGTCACGCTAATAACGACGTTATATAAAGTATTTACAGTTAAAATCATTTAAACAAAATAGAAATTCGATCTGTTTTTGGTGCTCAATGTGCTGGAGACAATAGCAGAGAAATTCTCGTCCCAACGTTATCTTACACTAACAGCAAGAGCGTTCCTTGTTCTGTATATAGTCACCCACTCGGCATATATCCAGTGTGTTTTAGGTTTTTAGTGTATGTTAGTAACATGCAAGTGGAAACATCAGTAAAGAGTTTCAGACTACAAGCAGAGATCATTGCGGCCTTCGCTTCCATTTCATCAATAACCTTTTTGGCACCATGTTAGCTGATAACATATATTTTTTAGTTTTGATGCATGGCCGGTGACCTAAGTTTAATATTTCTTGTGCTTTACCGATAAAATGTTGGTTTGAACAAATTCCATCGATTCGAAGCTGTTTTGTTCGAACAATTTAAAGACTAAAGTCTCATTGCCTTGTTTAAGTTAATAAGTTAATTTTGCTTGCTGACAGAGAGAGTATATAGCTTGCTGACAGAGAGAGTATATAGCTTGTTGCAGTGTAACAACATTGATGATGATATAATCACGTTTTATCTTATTTTTCTTTTGTTCTCAAACTAATTATTTGTGAGTAATATTGACTAAGCTCCTTTCGTATTATTACCAGTGGGCACTATTTTCTCATAATGAAAACAATCTTTGTTTACAGACGGATTCCTCCGAGTATACTGTGACGGAGACCGGTACCATTGAGGTCACTGCTTGGCTAACTGTACCTCTAGGGTGTTCGTACCTAGCCTCTAGCACTCCTGATGAGTATGTAATTTGTCAAGTTTTATATTATCATGAAAATAAGATCAAATTAAACCGTAATGATGTTACGTGTATGTTGTTTGCACATATATTTACAGTTTAGCGGAACTAGATTGGGTCGACCGTCGGTGATCAGGTAGCTCAATTGGCAGAGCGTCCGTCTAGAGTTGGGAGGGTCCCGGGTTCAAGCCCCAGTCAGACTGTTTCATTTCTCTTTCCGCTGTTACAAATTCAGCAAGCTTGCCAACACTTCTCTCCAGCATTTTGTGTTCGCTTGACAAATGAATATTCGAACATTGGTAGTAAATAATATTGTCTTTGGGGGCGATGACTTGGAAAAAGAAGGGAGGAATGTAGCAGAACTTGACAGGGTCGACCGTCGACCGTTGCATTTCCCTTTATCCTGGTACAATTGTCACAATATAATCATACAATATAGCTTGCTTCACATGATTTTTAAACATGTCACCATGTGCTTTTAATTTTTATATCACTTAAGTGTTATGGCTTATCAATTTCTTTTTTAGAATTAACTCTATGGAAGAAAATCAATGCAACTTACACTTGAAAGTGAGAACACCTGATTACTACGCAAACGGACAACTCACGTGCACCCCCGGTGGTGTGACAGACGAACCAATTTCTTTCGAAACCACAAAGCTATGTGGATTGACGTTTCTATTCCTTGAACAAAATGTGACTAAAACCTTCACAATTTTTGGATCCGGCGACAAATTAGCGAATCTGAATGCTAGATCAATTTTTATTCGTATGACAACAGACATACAGTTTACACATCATGCATGGAGCTCAGCATCAAGTCCCGACATTCACGTACGTGATTATGATTGATAGATGAACATGTCTATCAAATCCTACTGTTTTTCACATACATGCATATCATAGTTTCTACATGTTATAGTTATATATTCATTGTCGTCGTCAACACTTAACCATCTTTTTAAAGTTACCAATTGCATTATTTTTCCTGCAGTTAGATTAATAATTAAAACATTTAAACTATGAACTCGCTCTATTCAATCATATTAAATGGAACCTTATATAAAAATATACATGCATCTGTAATACAAAGTTATAATTGTGTTTACAGAACAAAGTCTATTTAAAACAATGTTTTCAACATACACGTTCTTATAAAATATACAGGTTGTGGTGACAGATCAAGATATTGACCTCGAGGACAAATTTTGTGCTGTCAGAACTGACCCAAATATGTGGACATTCGACAAAGGGTACGTCACGATCTCTGTGTAGTTTTCGCATTGAGATCACATGTAAATATGCTACCTTTCTTGCAAACCATAATGTAATGATACAGCCAGTTTTTCGGTTTTGCAATAAAATGTTCTGAATAACACTCTTTAAAAATATTGCATCACATGTGCCCTAGTAGCCAGAACTCTGTTTGTTTGGAAATCGTGATGTTTTCACTAGTAACTCGTTTACATTATCTCCATTCACATTATTTTACAATATGAGCATATGGCATTTTTACCTCTGAAATATATATTAAGGAATTAAGTAGATGCTATCAGTAATCTAATAATAAACACAATATGTACTTTCAAGTTATTACTTATCAAACCTTTTTGAATCTTCGCTTTCTTGAACAGAAATGTCCTGTTATAAAAAGTCTTCTTGCTATAACAGTAAATCGTGCTTGTCAGCAAAGTAAATCGTCAATATAGAATTATACATTGATGACTACATTTTAGATATTGGTTTTACCAGCAGAGTGGAGAACACGTGCTGTACAAACATGATATACTTCCTATCAGAGTATGTATAACTTTATCATTTTATTATATATCACATACATACGTTCACATTATATTTCTTATTATAGAAATTATTTGCAGAAATATTTTTCAAACGGGTATTACAATGATAAGGCAGTATTCAACTAGAAACAATTTAACAATGAAATTGCAATAACCCATATATTTCAACACGCCATCAAAAGAGACACGCTATGATGTTTGAATAAGGTTACGTTGATTCTAATCATTTCAAACAAAGCAGATATTCAGGCAAGGTAATGATGATGTTAGAAAACAAGAGAAGAACCCAACATGTTAATTAGATTTTTTCAAAGCAACATAGTACAACAACAATGTATTTGACAATGTTTCGTTCACTGCTTGGGTACGTTTATCGCACATAGATGCATAAAGTGAATTTAACTATAATGACATCACAATCAGATGACAGAGTTTTATTATGACGTCACCATTAAAACGCGTCAGACTATGTAAGCATATTTAAATTTGTGATATACATACTAAATACCATACTTTATTCTTCGCTTTCGAAATATGTCCTTAGTTTATTTGTACGTTATATAGACATTTTGCTATATTATGCGTTACATTTGCATTGTCGATGCCCAGTTTTATCAACATTTCTTCTGCAAATATGTGCACGAACAAAAGTAATTAATTGTGTAGGTACATGTACAAAATGTATGAGGGTTATAGATATTCTACCCTCGTGTGTAGTATGTAGGTATGTGGGATTAGGATACTGATATAATATGTAGATTATCCTAATCCAAAATACCTACATACTCATTGGCTCTTTTAACATTACGAAAGGTTAACAAGCTAAGAACTGGGAAACAGAAAACGGATTTACTTTAAAATTTCATTGTTTCATGCTTTTAGCAAAATGTTTGTACTTTAGTTTGAGGTCATTTAGAAAAATGAAACATTCTTTAAACTAGATATCTATGATATAGGTTCATACAGTTTTTGACAGCTGTGTATGGGGCGGGGCGTGTGTTTACGGAGTAGCAGTACGGAATGGGGATGCCCTGTTTGTCGTGAATCTATGTCGCAGTACTGTTGGAACGCCTTGGACAAGTAGTACAACTAACACGAACCATTACATAGAACAGAGGGCGTGCGACAACACCCACATGACAGTGGAGACAAAAGGCTCTGATTTCTATATGGTAAGGGATGTACCATGTCTGTTTTGTTAAAGGTTTACTGTGGTATTAGAATTGGCAACCCATTTTTATTGACAAATTTGAAGTTTAACATTAAACTAGTAAACATCATCTTGTATGATTTTCTGGCCCTATGCCGATTATTTTGAAAAGTTTCTTGCGGAAATTTAATACATATTTATATCTAGATATAGTATAATAATTATGTCCCTAAACATTTGTTGTCGTGTCTATTTACCAGGTAACTCTATTATAAACATCCTGAACAGTTGATTTACAAGGTAACTCTATCATAAACATCGTAGACAGTTGTTGTCATGCCTAGTTACCAGGTTACTCTATCATAAACATCGTAAACAGTTGTTGTCATGTCTATTTACCAGGTAACTCTATCATAAACATTCTAAACAGGTGTTGTCATGTCTATTTACCAGGTAACTCTATCATAAACATCCTAAACAGTTGTTGTTATGTCTATTTACCAGGCAACTATATCATAAACATCCTAAACAGTTGTTGTCATGTCTATTTACCAGATAACTTTATCATAAACATCCTAAACAGTTGTTGTCATGTCTATTTACCACGTAACTCTATCATAAACATCCTAAGCAGTTGTTGTCATGTCTATTTACCAGGTAACTTTATCATAAACATCCTAAACAGTTGTTGTTATGTCTATTTACCAGGTAACTATATCATAAACATCCTAAACAGTTGTTGTCATGTCTATTTACCAGGTAACTATCATACACATCCTAAAAAGTTGTTGTGATGTCTATTTACCATGTAACACTATCATAAACATCCTAAACAGTTGTTGTCATGTCTATTTATCAGATAACTTTATCATAAACATCCTAAACAGTTGTTGTCATGTTTATTTACCAGGTAACTATCATACACATCCTAAAAAGTTGTTGTCATGTCTATTTACCATGTAACACTATCATAAACATCCTAAACAGCTGTTGTGATGTCCATTTACCAGGTCACTATAATAAACATCCTAAACAGTTGTTGTCATGTCTATTTACCAGGTAACTCTATCCTCTGGCACGGTGGTGACGATTTCAATCCGAATAGATTCCAATAGTCAGTACACGTATGTACGGTATGTACAGGTGAAACCCTCACTGATTGACTGGGGAGCGTCCGAAGGTCTGTGTGGTGTTCTAGATGGAAACATTGCCAACGACATGCAGAAGAGAGATGGTTCAATAGCAACGTCATGGAGCGAATTCGGCATTGACTGGAGGTAAGTTCAGTTAATAAAAGGGGGGGGGGACCATATTTCCTTACGGATTATTAAAGAATAAGAGGTAATTTATCAGTAGGGGTAATATGATTTTATATCTGTTTACAGTTAAAAATAATATATGTTCCACCATTTATTATTAATTGCCCCTATTTGTGTTTCAGACTGGACCCGGCCGCTGATGGAAACTCGCTGTTTGATGTTGGTGTACCCCTATCTGACTTCCCGATCCCTCCTTTACAATACTGTCGATGTCGAGCTAATGCAACGAATTGGGCTCGACTTAGTGATCAAGTGATATGTGATCTCGACTCCACGATCACGTCATGCGCAAGGGTCACAGACACGTCAAGTTACTTCACACAGTGTGACAAGGCACCTGTTAAACGGAAAAAGGACACATACTCTAGTACACATGGTGAACCGACTAAATTTGGTGTCGTTTTGGACGAAAACTACGTCACCATACCAGAAGTAGGTTTATTGCACAGAAGAAGCTTAATTACTAGACTTGCTCCTTATCCCCATTGCCAAAATTCAAAACAGTTAATACTTACACCAATGTTTAGCACTTAAGTAAATATATCACTATATCCCATATGTCCTTCAAGTTGTCTTCTTAATCTTTATCTGACCTTAGATAATAAAAGGACGGTAGACTTCAAAATAAACACGTTAATATTTGCTTACTAAGGTATATGCATGGCGAAATGGCTGGTCTGAAACACTAGCCGAGGAAGCCTGTCGACTGGCATTCAATGGGGACTCCTTGCTTACTAAATGTAAAGATATTGTTCCCAAGATGTCAGAAAATATCGAGACTAGTGAAGAAGAATGCGTGAATGACATTTTGGTAAGTAAGCGTTAGTATTTTAGTCAGGTCATAAACAATAACATCTGTTTAGTATTGTTAAACTTAACTCTAAACTTCTGGTGCGGTTTGTAATTGATTCCACATTATTTATAACTCATTATCTGCATTTATTGTACATGTTGCAGCATATTCGTCAAAGAATTAAAATGAACACCTGTTGGAATAAATATCAGTGTGAATTTACAAAGAGCTTGTCCTACCTACACAGGTTTCAGCAAACACTAACTTCATGAAAGATACTGTTGAAGCTCTGAAGACCACATGCATTGTTGAGGCAATGCGTTCTGAAAACCTCACAACCAAAGGATCAGGCAGCGAGCCAGGAATGACCTTTCTAGACGAACTCTTAGAGCTTAGCTGTCCGAACAACTGTTCTGGAAATGGGAATTGCATCAACGGTAATTAATAATAGTAAATGATATTTGTTCATCCAGGGAAGTGATAAATATTAATAACATATTTTTTATTCTTCACATAAATCTCATATTGCATAGTGAGTATGTTTATGTCCCTATTCCTATTTAATGTAGACCCCCTCAGATTGGTTGATTGTACATGAAAATATATGCGGATAGTTATTTCGAACAAATCAAGTCGCACATATTGCTCTCTAATAGGGTAGGCGTCTTTAAGTAGCTGCACCTACACTGTACATAGTTTGTTTAAAAATGGTACCGTTTGCAGGTTCGTGAACTATTGTTGAATTTTAGAAAGTATTTGACCGTTGAAACGTGGTATAACCTCGCCAGCGCGTAGGAACGCTGATCACATTTTGTTGAAAGAAAATATTGTAATAATGATAGCTTCATCCGAGAGAGCTACAAGTCACGACACGTTCCTAAAGTATTTGACGCGGAATCGTTTACCGAAATGGCAGAGAAATTTAGGACTGAGTGAGTGGTTGCAGCTGATTTTTAATTATGTGCAGAAGAAATATTCACGTGCAAAGGCAATTCTGTGATCAGTGAACTAACATCAAGCATATGTTTTGTTATATTAACGCTAAATAATTACGCCTGATCCTTAAACTCAGGTAAACGTTATACCAACGCACATTTGCATCAATTAGGAATAAAGCAGCCTGAGTATATTTCAGGAACGTGTGCCTGCAGCTCTGGCCTGTATGGTGACGAGTGTTCCCTACAGAAGACAACGCCTCCTGTTGTAAGACAAGCAGGAACTAACGGGCTATGCAAAACGGACGTGTCGACATGTAGGAGCTTCGTTATCCCCGGTTTAAACTTCATAGACAGCCAGCTAACGTGTAAAGTTAGATATATCAAGGTAAATATGTAAAAAGATCTGATAGGATTTTGTTAAAACTATATTAAATCTTAACTGTTGTATGTTGTTTGTGCAAAATCCAGTTAAGCTATTTTGTATGGATTAAACATTTAGTTTTTACTGTTCAGTTCGAGACCTGCAATATTCTGATTGATGTTTTAAGTGCAGTCGTTTTTACTTCAAAACATGTTCAATTGACCTATGCATCGATTCTATTTAGGTGTATTCTGATCGCTGGGAAAGCCAGTCAGCAACTGAGAACTTTCCTGCTATTTACCTCAACAGTATTAACTGCGTCTGCATCATACCTGTGATAGAAAGAAAGAAAAGATCGGTTCAATCTGAAACAATATTTGCGGAAGGCTTTCTCCTGAGTGTCTCAAATGATGGCGTCAGTTTTAGCAATGAGACTACGTTCATCACATATGATTCTACCTGCTATGAATGCAATTCCACAAGCGTTTCGTGTACAGAACTGGTAAGCGAACTTCCACATGATGGTGATAATTTTGAACTTTGTCATGAGAATAGTTTAAAGGATCAGTTTGGAATGATACATTGTTGAAACTAATTATTTGCTACGAAGGTAGAAAGTGGCAAAAACGTAGTGTATAATATGTATTTTTGTATCCAAAGTAGAACACTGATTTTTGTTTCAATGAAATAAACGTTATTTGGCTATGACTGTCTTACCAGATCGTACTAGTTACCTTAATATGAAGACCACTGAAAAATCAAGATAAGGTTTTTAGTGAAGTTGATTCGTTCCTATTGATTGGATCTTATTTATTCGCTGTATAAATATAAGGAACCTAAATATGCAGTGTCTATTCGTCAAATAATATATAACTCTTTGTAATAAGTTTTTTACATATCAAATGGTTTTGTGTGACTTATGGCCTCGATCTTTGATCTGTTTCATAAAACACTTTTAAGTTTTAATTGCAATATGTGAACACAATTGATTACTTTCAGAGTTCCTGTTCCAATTCCAAAACCATGGATTACAACGACAAAGACAATGTTGACACGAAAGGTAAAAAACATGAACATAATCATTTGTATGTGTAAACAATTTGTAAATAATCAAGTTTTTCATAAATGATTTGTAATAAAACTAGTCCATGAAATATAAATACAACACAATTGCATCGATGTTCAGTCAAACTTTCATTTAAAAAAAAATCATATTGAATGCGGTATTAATTACATTCCTCTACGTCGCTATATATATTCACGTTGGATACTTATTATTTGTTCAGACTTATCATATTGTTTAAATGTAAATTTAAGCGTAACGTTGTGTGCTTATTATTATTGCACATATTGTTGATATATGCTGTACAACCTAACACACTTATAATTTACAGATGTGCTTTCACAAGTTTTAATTGGTGTCGGAATATTCATCGTCATTGCACTATCAGTTGCCATCGTTATCATTTGCTTCAAAAAGAAACAGCAAAGGTAAGACATGTATTTTGAAACCCCTCCCTTTCGCATGTCTCTAGTAAATTAACTGGATTCCAATTATTGTTCTTCGATCAGTGAGGAAACAGAGAATACAATTGTATTCCTCAAACATGTACTAAGCTGCATTCAAATAGTAAATATATGAACTCTTGTTTTATATATTTGTTTAGATTTTAGAGTTTCATAAATTTGCTTTTTGTGACTATATCATTATTAATTCATTACAGAGCTCAAATAGCCGATTCAAGTACCAATGTCAGACAGGGGCCAGAGAGAGTACGTTATTCCACCAATCACTATGTAGACCAGCGATGTGGTACCCCAGATACTGTAAATACAAAGGAGATCATATTAAAGGATGTTTGGTTTGACGACAAACTACCAGAAAATCCATTTAACTGATGACGTATATATATGTTATCGCCATGTACGTGTTAACACGTGGTGAATACTGTACAGTATAATTAGAACCATACGTCATTAACCGTCTAGGTGTCTGCAATGTTAGAATATTTTCTTTCCGTAGGAAGTGATATTGAATTATCCTCCCTGTCGAAGTCAAAAAGTTATTTGAATACAATATCATTATCTTATCAGGACTTCAGCTAGGACCGGTCTAATGAAGTGTATGATCCATAACATGAACTTCTCCGCCTATTATTACTCGAAGAACTTTAAATTCTGTAACACGTGGTCATAGGCTCTCGCTTAATGGCTGTAACGGAAAGGATTGAACTATTTCTTTCCTCGTCTAGTGTCACAAAATATAGAAATGTTTTTGTCCTTTAGATTTTGCTTTAAGTTTTTGTTTTGAATTAAATGTTTTGATTTGAAAAATATCTAATTTTACATTGGAATTATTTCAAGTGCTTTTACGAGTATATTTCTGTCATTGACTGCAATGTGTTTTGAGTATATTCTCTGATATTAACAAATAAAGTTTGGAACACATACGTAACCTAACGTATCTGAATTGATTTAACAAGTAAGCAATACGCATATATGACTAAATAAACTAAATAAGAATGTATCAGTAGATTTTCTAGCCGTACGATAACATGTCACACACATTAACCGTGTAAGCTAAATAGTTATTACCTAACCCAAACAGTTGATAGGTGTTAACCATCCAGTTGGTGTGTAAACTTAGCAGAGGATTTGTTAACAAAACAGCGGATATGTAAACTACACAGTAGATATGTCTACTAAGCAGTAAAATGTACACTAAACAGTGGATATGGAAACAACACAGTAGATATGTTTACTAAGCAGTAAATATGTACACTAAACAGTGGATATGAAAACAACACAGTAGACATGTTTTCTAAGCAGTAAATATGTACACTAAACAGTTGATATATACACTAAACAGTAGATATATACACTAAACAGTAGATATATACACTAAACAGTAGATATGTACACTTAACAGTATATATGTAAACTTAACAGTATATATGTACACTAAACAGTAGATATGTACACTAAACAGTAGATATGTGCACTAAACAGTAGATATGTACACTTAACAGAAGATATGTATACTAAACAGAAAAAAATATACACCAAGTAGCTGATATGTACATAAAACAATTGAAATATACATTAAACAGAAGAAATATATACACTAAGCAGCTGATATGTACACTAAACAATTGATATGTAAACTAAACAGTAACATGTTAAGCATGTAGCAAATAGATTTTTATACGTTTTGCAATAAATCTCATCTAACACAAATTGTTGGAACTAAACAAATACTTCCGGGTGCTAGATACAACGTTTTATTGGATGTTACGTTATAAAAAAACTGCATGCTCTGATCTGCAGGAAAAGACGGTAGGGAGCTGCTAAAGTAGGAAGGGTATTAGACTGTCTTGGTAGGAGCTCAGAGACATCTATAACACTTAAAATATGATATGAAACGGAAACTACATGTATATAATGTGACATTGATGTTTACCACATTTCTGATAGACATCCGTAACATCAGTTCAATATAATATTTTATTTGCCACTAACTTGCCAAACAAATGAGTCAATTACGTTTTATATATTAATCACAATTTCAATATAAATTATGTTGTCCTGTAAGTAAAGAATTACTATAACGTGATAAACACATTCATTTTATTGTAATAGGTTTTTGTCACCGAAAGATAACAATGTGTGAAACGAAGCGTAACTTAGACGTAGTGTTTACGAGATGTGTTAATAACATTTATGTAATTCTCGCCTCACAATGCATCGCTATATCTGATACAAGTCCGATTTAGATATGGAACTAACATTGTTGTTTGAAATCGTGTACATCTAAAAGAATATAGGTTCTTTGCTACAACTGGTTTGTTCTGCTAGAACGGGGTTTCATTACAAGGCCTTGACATTGGCTATAGATAATATTTCAGTCAAACCATCATATCATGTATGATCGGTGCCTTACGTGGACACGCGTACATAAACAATAAAAAACGTTCTGGTTAAATATTGGTAATAGTCTTAATCAGACAAAATCGATAAGCACAGGAAACGCGCAAGGAATGTACGAAATAAACACTCAGACTTCCATATACAAAGCATGGTTAGCTTTGCAATTTTACATTTAGGTTTTCGTCGGCGGCTCACTTTGGTTGGTCATCGTCTTTATCTATAGCTGTGGCGTCTAAGACCTTGTTTGCTGCGCAAGGTTAACAAATCAAGTCCGCTGCTTTTCGTTTCCAACAGTGTTTATGACATTTGTATTCATTTGTCTTGTGCTGTTGTCTTGTTTCCTATGAAAACTCGTGTCTGCTTAGAAGGCGCTGATTTTGCAATATGTTTTCTAAAGCCCGTCATAATGAGATTCCACTTAAACACCTATTTTTGTGTCCTTTCAAAGTCTCTTATGCTAACTGTTTGTAATACCAGCTGACATGATCAGTTTTCAGGCCATTCTGAAATGTCGTCATCAACTCTGAACAAAGCAAAACTGAATAAAATATTGTCACATATTTCAAAAAAGCCTACTTACGCATTTGTTATTGAAATAATTTTAAAAACCTCTGAATAAAAAATGATTACTCTGATGAATGTTTTCAAGGCGTATATGGGCCTTCGTAGCATACCACCTGTGCCTAGCTTGAGGTAGATCAGCTACTCCACGACAATACCTTGAGGAGAAGAAGTTTAATTCAGGAAGTGATCAATATCGGTTACTCCCTTCGATGCACCCGATCCACTGGTTAAGAGGGTTAATTTACACGTATACTTTTGAGTGACGATATGATCTACAATGAAAACAACTTCGTAGCCGTATATAGAAAAATTGTAGGTAATCCATAGTGTCACCCAATGACAAACTCAAATTATATAACAAACAAAAAACAATAGAAAAGACCATGTGTACGCTATAGTATTGGAGGAAATATGAAGGTAAATGTATTTCGAAAAGTAAGTATTTTCTTCATCAAATATTGACATCCGTCATTATGTCTTTAGTCGAATCACATCCGCTACCGTAAATGACGGCACGGTGATCACGTTTAGATGATGGAGAACAATGACGTTACCGAAAACTCGTGGTATTTATAACAGTGCGGCATTGTACATCGAGTCCCCTATTGCGGTGTCCCGCAGATTGTATGATTTGTTTAGTTTCCATACAGCTCCTGACTAATACTTTCACTTATGCTTTCCCGTTAATCACGACTAGCAGATCAGGTGACAGCTTCACTGTCTACGCCTACAATATCATTTCCACCATTAGAACAATAAGCGTATCCACTTACGTTAAATGTAATTGCATGTAAAACCCATTTCGAGGTTTTGCTCTCGGCGTAAGCATGTGGGAATCCTGAACAGTCATGCAAGTTATTCAGTGTGTGTATGTACCAGTGGCGTTTATCTCCGGTGTCCTGTCGAGAGTTACGTGTGTACGAGTATTGTCAGAAAGGTTTGTAGGTGATCATACACAGTAACCACAGCCTCCTGAAAGATAGTGTTTGCATATCAAACCACATAAATCACCTAACTTTACCCTTCAAACTAACGCAACGCTAACAGATATATACCGCACCCTATACTCTACAGTATCAACATCCTTTACCAATTCCCCCTTTTTACTATTCGTACCCATCATGACTTGTATAAGTACCCGCAGGACGGGGGTTATACAATTGGTGTTTATAAATCCCTCTAAAGATAACATACCAACAAACTTTAACAAGCTATTTTTATAAGACCTTTTTTCATACTCCTCATGCTGTCCTCTAACCTTCTTGTCCTTCGGAAGGGACGTTAAATGGGGGTCCGGTGTAAGGAGATTCACGCCTTGCACGTTAAAGATCACTCTGCTGGCTTTCGAAAAAGATTAGGCTAATTGCTAGCCGCCACGAAGTATAGGTCATATATTTAGACTAGTGTAGGGCTTTAAGTGACAGTCCAAATTGAAATCCCTTAATTATAGAAACTAGAACGTTAGGTACCCATATCCACCAGTTTAGAACTTTTTGGCGAAACCCAAAAGGCGGAATTTCAGTCATTCCCCCCCCCCCCCCTCTTTCTGTTGTCCTAGGCTCGGTTATAACGGAACAAGGACGTAAAGCCCCATCAATCAATCAAGCAATCAATCATTCTGGGAGAGATAAACTGATGCTGACTGAAGATCACGGCGAAGATACAACAACGATAAGGTATATACAAAGGCTGGATAAGTCTTTGTGGAAGGACTGGATAAGTCTTCCATAGTGTGGTAGTTGTTGGTCGCTGAATAAGTGACCAGTGGTCGTGAGACAGTAGGTTAGGGCGATTAGCGGTTGTAAGACCTGTGCACGGTATAGCTATTACGTTGTGTGAGCCGGTGCGCTGCGCTGGATAAACAAGGTTGTCACTGCGCTGTACTAGTGCCGGTAGCACCTTTGTTCGAGAGAAATCAGCTTGTGCCATGCTCAGACAAAAGCAGTACCACGACCAGAAACTTAGCTGGCAGAGCTTTGAAAAAGGCGAGATGTGTACGTTTTCTTCCCTCAGAAGAAGCAAGGGCTATCACCCAAACTTACTAGTTTCTGGCGGGGACCTTTCAAAGTGTAAGGGAAGTGCTCGGATTTGAACTACAAAGTCAATTGCGGACCAAGAGAAAGCCACAAGTGATTCATGTGGACCGCATTCGCAGAAAATACAGTCAGGCCTTGAGAGGCGAGCAGATTGATAGTCGAGATCAGATTGTCGTATTTGGTGATGGTATGACTGAAACCGACAAGGATAAGTCTTCCATAGCGTGGTAGTTGTTGGTCACTGAATAATTGACCAGTGGTCGTGAGGCAGTAGGTTAGGGTGATTAGCGGTTGTAAGGCCTGTGCACGGTGTAGCTATTACGCTGTGTGAGCCGGTGCGCAAGGTTGTCACTGCGCTGTACTAGTGCCGGAAGCACTTGTTATAGTCGTGTGCTAGTTGTTAGTGCTGTGCGCCGCGCTGCATAAACCGGTGCGCTGTAGGTCTTGTCTAGTCCCCCTGTTCACATTATATGTGTATTGTAGTTGTGAGTCCCGTGGCAAGTAGCACGACCCTGTTTATTGTATGCAACTGTATCATAGGTTTGTCGTATTAAAATCATTTGTAAATGATACTAAGTATAGTCTGATTAGGTTTGCTTGGGTCCAATTCATATAGGAAGTCTCTGCGCTACTAAGCAAGTGCGCTAAGGAGAACTACCGGAACTGCACAGCATATCACGAGAGACAATTGGGACGGACCAAATAGGAACCGACCACGGTGCACGTTACATAACGCTCAGGCAGGCTAGTATCCTTTGTTTGGCCTCTTGTTAACAAACTGTGCAATTGTCATCATAAGGATGTAAGTGCTAATAAGCGTACATTATACTCTGCTAGGATGCTTTTTTGAAACAGTATTAATGAGCTTTAAATTAACTATATAATCTATCTTAAGCTTGTAATGTCTGCACTGCCACCTATGCGTCACAATTATTGAGAAGGTTCTGCCCTTGGATGTAATATGGATAGGGGTAGGTTAACATACGGTATGTAGCTATGCATATAACATTATTGCTAGTGTCATTATCACAGAGAGTTTTTATCTAAATTATTATTACACAGACACAGCTGAATTCAAGCAGTCGACAATGTTGATAAATACCTCCATTTTCAAATTTATCAAAATATTCTCAATGAAAGAGCAGTAACATTAACATATTATTTATAATGGATCAGAAAAAAGTGAGTTTTAATAGCATGAGACAGCCTATCACTTAAATCAGTGCTTTGGCTATGGTCCACAGAACTGCAGGTAGAACGTAGAGATAACTTACACCGAGCATGTTTGCCGCTAGGAGGATAACTAATTTGCAAACAAGCATTACTGTTGTATTGCACTAGACTATAAGTCCTTGATTCAACGAGTATCAATATGATAAAATCGTATAAAAACGAAACAGTTCAACATATCATACTTTTAATTTGAAGTGTGTCGAATCAATACTAATAATGTCGTTTAAGTGAAAAGTTGTCCGACTGAAATTACAGTACCGAATGCATGCGGGAATGTTTAATATCATATGAATACAACTAGTATATTTTGGCCTCTTCCATTATAAACGCCCTATTTTAAAGGCTCTCTCAACTGTGTATTCTTGTTTATAATTTCGCGTGTGACGTATTCAGTGGGACCTGTATAGTATACTGGCACCGTTCCAAGTCTAACATACATACACAGACCAGGTAACAGGGTGGTACACCTCCTCATCACCGACATGTAGTCCAGGATACGTGGACGTGAGAACAAACGAGGAAGGCATGGCAGTGTTCATTCTCCTACTTGTTCTTTGCCTGGGCATTCATGCCAGTGTGACAGCAGGTGAGATCTACTATATTTTCTATATCGCCTTGGTCTGCAATCTAGGTCGTTGTGACTAGGGTTAACTCCCCTAAAATTTACAAGAAGTCAGAACATGGGGATAAATATTAGCTCTTGATGATGCTAATAATGTTATAATACTTGATTTGTCTACCTTGTACCAACAGATATATAAAATGTTAAAAATGAAGTCTTTTAAAAAAGAAGAACCTGTATATATGATAATAGGTAGGTTGTTTATTTTCACCCTACATGGATGTTTCACAATGCACTGGGTTTAAAACCTGTTGTTAAATTGTTTACTTTTTTCATAGATCCTTGTTTGAAATATGATAGTTTTACAGCCGACTTAACAGGATCTCCCGGGCACGTAGAACCCGTGAACGGCAACAAGAATTGCATAAATAATCATATTGTCTAGGAGAAGTCCAGAATAATCGTATACATGTTATCTATATTTATCATAGATCCTTGTTTGACATACGATAATTTCACCGCCGACTCAACACGATCGCCTAGCCACGTAGATAACAATAATTGTGATGCAGTCCTCACTGAGAAATGGTACAGACTGGTAGGGGACGCGGGCACTGACCTGACTAATGACAGTAGTGTTTTAGTTTCTGGTGGATGTGGGACGCAGTATCAACTGTGGATGAATGGTGAGTAATGTATGAGATAATAATTGTGTACACTAGATATGAATATTTCTATTAATAGAATCACACTAGAATTATTTCACGGAAACTGTTTAATTTGTAAAAAATAATTGAAAAAACAAGGAAGAAAAAGCTGTTTAATATACATATATCAAAACAACAAGAATCAAGAAGGTTCGGGCTTACGAACTTTATGCCATGATATTAGTAATTCTAATTTTACCTGATCGGCTCTTTGGCCTCGCGTAATGTTTTCATACGCAGTTGTTTAGTTAACAACTAAATTACAACCGACTTGTTATATATGTTGTTGTTTGATACATATTACAAATGTTAGAGAAGGTATAGTTTACGTAAATGAACATCATGAAGTACCATTACGAGCAGGTATAATAAGGCCTTATTTATAGCATGTATACCGCACAGTGTACGTCCCCTAATTTATAGCATGTATACCGCACAGTGTACGTCCCCTTCGCTCGCCGTCTATGGAATCAGCGCTAATTTCGCCCTGCACATTTAGTTACTAGGCATATTATGTTGTTATCTTATAATTTCTGTAATGATAAATCTGCCCTCATCGCGAAGGGCGTAAACGGCGAAAACTTAACTGCAGCGAATATTTCCCGGTATGCATTATTTGTATTTAATGATTGGATATTTTACTTACAGCATACAATATATGTCTTTCTTCAAACATTGTCGTATTTTTGTATTGCATTGTTGTATTTTCGATTGTTTTGTTATATTGTTGAATGGGATATGCAATATCTAAATAACGATGTTAACTAATACAAAAATACCTTATCTGGTAAAAAGCCACCATGCCAGATGTTTCAGAAGGAATCGTAGATAGAAAGATCTGCATGACGTCACCCTTCTCAAACTGCCACAGTTCTTTCACCGTCCAAGTGAAAAACTGTTGCTCTTTTCGAGTTTACTATCTTAAGAGTGCAACTAACTGTCCTCAGGCATACTGCGTTAGTAAGTAACTATCGAACATGACATTTACTACAATTTGATAATTTTGTCATTCTACTAAAGCGTTATGTCAGAATTCGCTAGACGATAGGGGTTAACTCACATTTGTAAGCCTGCCATCCATAGGAAATCGATCCAAATATTAAAATGTGATATTTACTTCATATATATATGCTATTCGTTTTGGTCTAATAAGAAAAAGAAGAAATATGCAAATTGCATACTCGTATTATTTTGTTAATTCATGAGACTGTTATACTGCATGGTGATGGCTCGACTGATATTGACCAATTAACATATATACTAAGGATTCCACTATAAACCTTCAGGTCCCAGTCTTGTTCCTCCTGTCGACTGCCCCGGTCCATCTACGAACTCTTCTACAAGTGTTTCAACTGCGAGTGAGACAACTACATCTGGGGATACTACTACCAGTATATCTACGAAGGAGACGAAAGCTACCAAGCAAACAACTTCGGCGAAAACAGGTACTGGTTAGTAAGAGTTTGCATTTGAATGAAAGTTATGTGGTGTGCATTCGTTGCGACTGCTTTAAACAAGACATTCGCCATGTGAGATCCCCTCTGTAAATCCTACTTCCTAAAAGCAATATATTCGCTATTTTGAAATGTTATTTTACACAAGACTGTAAAAAAGGTCATGCACGTTATTTCATGTTTTACTATAAAAACGTATCATATTCACGTTATTCTTAACTATTAGTAATGGTAGCCTTTCATTATCATCAATTTAGGCCTCATTTTTTATGTGTCTTACTAAATCAAAAAGAACATAAAATGTCACATCACTTCTAAACTTTATATAAATCAACCAATCGTTATTTTCTACTATTTTGACATTTCCGTCTGTCCCATTTGTGTGGCACATACTACAGTTGATTCTCAATGTCAAAGTCTTTTCATAGTTTCCGGTCATCTATGTCCTGCTGATCAATACTCTAAACCGCGGTTAACATCTTACTCAGTTTGTCCTTTAGGTCGAGGATCGCCTTCAGTTTCTTGTATGAGCTCTTTTGCTTTATATTTTTCTTAAGTATTATTTCCTGTTGTTGTCTTTTTGTGTAGATTCTTAGATTGTATCTGTGTATTGATGATTTCCGTAAAATGCGGACATAAAGGAAATAAGGAAGAATAACTATTTTATTCCAATAATTCCAATACTCATTACAATATAGATAATGTTACTTTTGAGTAATGGATATTCATTCAGTTCGCCTACCATTAATGGTGCTTTTTCAGTTTGGAGTATTCAATTGACACTTAATTGCCACAATAATATACATAAATGTCATCATCTACGTTCAGTAAACTAACTAACACTAAGGTCACCTGTAATCTCCATCACTAGCTTTGTATATCTCTTGTTAAAATCTTATGTATACAATTCCTTCAATGACTTTCATTCAAACTAAATACATATCAACGATAACCATTATTGAATAAAAGAATAAAAGAAACCATTATACTAATTATTTCCAGATGAAGTGACAACACCAGCATCAGAGAGAAGCTCAAACCCAGTAATCATTGTGTTAGTAGTAGTGTGCGTTGTGCTTTTTGTGTTGTTTATCGGGTAAGTTTTATTAATTTATTTTCTATGATCCTTTGATTAATTAAGTGATTATCTACGATCTTTCGGCTTATGGATTGATGTATGAGCGTCTTGGTATATCTATTCCTGTTATTAAGATTAAACGTATCACATAATTCCTAAGCATTATGTAGATGTCTTCTTTTATTTCTTATAACTCTAGTACTGGATATAAAGGTTAGTTTGAAAATGATTTTTTTCAGTTCTATCAAATAAGAAATAAACGTTACAAATGACGTTACTTTCAGGCTTTCATTCGCCCTGTACATGAGATGTAAAAGAGAAAAAGGTCTACCCGATTCCACTCATTTTGGGAACGCAGCAATGCATTATTCCAAGGACACGAGTAGTGCTTTTACCGAGAACACCCTTAATTCTCATTATGAACAAATGCAATCAAAAAGCCAATCAGACGGCGAGTATCAAGATATAAACGATATGTATCTGATATCTGAAAAACCAAAACAGGAGAACTGTATAGAAGGTCCGTACTATGTGCTGAATCCAAGTACAATGCAATCACACCAATCTCCCTACGAGGATTTGAAGTCGCCAACAAGCTCCAATCCTTACGACATTTTATCAGAATCTGCTGCTGATTCAAATAAAGCTTCCAAGATGGAGTTAAGGGAAGAAGACGCCAACCACTACACTAAAATATAACAGCGTACGGAATAGAAGAATTAATCTGCATACTCAGGAATTACATCAAAAATCTCTAAATAAGATCCTTTCTATTCTGTTACCTGGCAAATAGAAAAAGTGCATTTGTTGCGAAAGGCCATAACAATTTTTCCTTGGCGGAACAAATGAACTATGTGAAAACGTGAAAAGACAATCTTGGTTGTATTACAACTCTTAAGGATAATATATACGTTTCAGTGCCTGATTTCATCATCGTTTGTAAAGTGTCTGATAGGATATACGATCACTGTCCTTTGTTTGTATAAATTATTTCTAATTCATGTTTGGTTAGAGCCGTTACAAGGACGTTTAACACCGTCAGCCAGTAAAGTATTTGCTACAAAAGCATACAAACTACAACAAAAGGATGGTACATGTAATACACGATTTACGGGATCTAAGGAATTTTGTAACTGACTTTCGTATTTAGGAGATGTCCTGTCGCTTTCCTTGAAGTTGTCTGTAACCTTGTAGCAGCTGAGATTTGTTCTTGAAATTTGTCACGTAAATTATTTTTTTATAGGCAAATTGTACCTTTTCCTCGACTCAAAGTTGGAGTAAGACTAATAAGCTGTATTTTACATATTTGAATATTGACCTTTATAGCTATAAACAAATCTATTAGTTATTGTTTTTATTTCACTACTGAAATGTTACCTTAACACATTAATACATACACAGAAACTTTCGACAAAATAAAAAGAGACAATGTGTTCGTTAAGTGTATTCGTCTTCTACTTAATTGACAACACTCGGCCTGTCAATACAGGTCAAATTCAAGTAATGACAAGTCCTTAACTTAAGACCCGGCCAGTTAAAACGAAACCACTTACGAGCATAATGAAAAAAACCGTGATATTCAAATCTCATATATCTCAGAATATTTTCACTGAGATCACCATAGCAACCATAAAACCTGCCCGTTGTTCTCATCAACCTGCGCCTCTAGGAATCCTGTGTTGTAAGTTTGTCTGTTAGCTGTATTTTGTATTCTCATACAACAATACGTACATACATGACCCCCTTTTATATCTAGTGTTTACATCAATAACGTAAATGGTCACATAGTTTTGTGTGTCAGTAACTTACACAAGTTTTCCAAGTACGATGTGTATTGATTTTTGTTTGTAAACCAGCAAATAAATGTGAAAAGAAGCAAAATTGATTACAGGATATGTTGTCAACAGGTGAATAGAAATCTCCCATTGCATACAATACGTTCCAGAGTCAGATACCAGTGAATTGAGTGTGTGTTACTGAAATTGTTTTGTTTGAAATTTGTTAGAATAATCTATCAATTGATAGGTTTTTTAGAATATCTATATTTTACCACTAATGTGTATTCTTGTTTGTACGACATACTTTTGCCAGCCCTTGCCAATAGCTATAATTAGTATTTGAGTCACATACTTATATCATTCCTGACGTGTATCTTTAAATAGATATTTATAAAACTTCCTGGTTAAATAGGTGCAAATAGTGTTCAGCGGACCAAAGTGGCCGACACAGTCGACACACACGCAATACCGGTATGTTATCAATGTGTTAATCAGAGGCTTTAATACCATATACAAAGGGCACGTCAGTCATCTTTGTATTGAAACGAAAATAACCAATTCAGTGTGAAATAAACCAATGGAGGTTTGAAAGAGGATCAAGAAAAAAACGAATAACACTAGTTAAACGTGTTAGCCGAATATGTTTGGTTTGGTGAGAATTGTACTTATAAAGGATCCCGTACCACTGCCTAAACTGTATTTTAGTGTTCGAAACTATTTTTCGGAACGGTTTGCTTTTTTTACATGACTATAGCTTTGATTATTCATATTTGAAAAGAAAAAAAACCTAGCGGGACTGTTATGAGAAATAATAAAGATAACATAAACAAAACATAATAAACAACACTGTTTTGGTTATACAATTTCAGAGGGGCCAGCCCAGTCCGGCATTTGATTGGTATATTATCGCTCTAACCGGTTAAACTACCAGGTCAACGGATGTGTCCTGGCCCAACTTTGTTTTAACAGTTACAGCCAAACGAAAGTTAACGAAGGTAACTCTATATAGGAAAAACAACAGTACAGTGGGGCAGGTGTCCTTAAGTCAAGTCTTTAAATGTAATATAGACAAGTCATCAACAGGTCAGATATGATACCTTCCTATTAAATATGCGGGATATTGCCACATTTTCGATAACTTCTAATTCAAGATTTTTTTAAATCGATTTGGTCTTATTGAGTTCAAATTTTATTTACTAACGAGAAAAATCAATTTCAATTATGATTATACATTTGTTAAGTCATAGACCAAACTGATTAAAATAATACACATAGTTACGCCATTCTGCTGCCAAACTCGGTAGACCGTTGCAACGTGCAGCGCTGCATGTTTGCAATCTGCTTTTCAAAAAAAAAAAAAAAAAACGATTCTACTATCCATAGTCATATCCTAAGGATCATGATGCGGAACGTGAGATAACAGGTATTTACATCAGACAGGGTTTTCTATAGGACACACAAGTGGTTGCTAGTGCGGTTAACCAAAGGGAGGTGTAAATATATTTACATTATGAAGGGTAGGATCTGGGATTCGGGAGTGTTTGTACGAAGTTATGTATAAGGATATTACATTACATAGGGTATGATCTTGGATACCAGAGTGGTAAGACAAAGTAAGGTATTATGATATTACATTACATGAGGTATAGTAAGGGATACGAGAGTGTTTAGACAAAGTAAGGTATTAGGATATTACATTACATAGGGTATTGTCTGGTATCGAGAGTGTTTAGACAAAGTAAAGTATTAGAATATTGAATTATATAGGGTATGATCTGGGATACGAGAGTGTTTAGACAAAGTAATATATAAGGATATTACATTACATGGGGTATGCACTTGGATACCAGAGTGGTAAGACAAAGTAAGGTTTTATGATATTACATTACATAGGGTATGATCTGGGATACGAGAGTGTAAAGCGCCTTAGAGTAATTTTACAAATTATATAGGGCGCTATATAAATGCTGTATATTATTATTATCATTATTTAGACAAAGTAATATATAAGGATATTACATTACATGGGGTATGCACTTGGATACCAGAGTGGTAAGACAAAGTAAGGTATTATGATATTACATTACATAGGGTATAGTAAGGGATACAAGAGTGTTTAGACAAAGTAAAGTATAAGGATATTACATTATGTAGGGTATGGTAAGGGCTACCAGAGTGGTAAGACAAAGGGATACAGACAGTTATTAATAATATGTAGGGTATGGTTTGGTATCGAGAGTGTTTAGAGGAAGAGATTTATTAAGATGTTGACATTATCTAGGGTATGATTTGGGATACGAGAGGTATCAGGAAAAGGAATTGATTGAACTATTGACATTACATAGATAGGGGTCTTGGGTACGAACGGTGTTATACGAAAGGAATATATTAAGAAATAAACGGTATGAAGGTATGGTCTTGAATACTTGACTGGTTAGACAAAAGGAGGTATTGTGATATTAACATTATATAGTGTATATTCTTGGATACTAGACTGGTAAGACAAAGGGAATGTATTAAGATATTTGTAGGGTATGGTTTGGGATACTTGAGTGGTTAGCCAAAAGGACTGTATTAAGACATAAACGTTATATAGGATATCGTCTGGGATACGAGTGTTGTCAGAAAAAAAGGAATGTATTAAGATTTTTAAGTTATGTAGGGTATGGTCTTGGCTACGCTGGTCAAATGGCCAAATAAAGATATTAACATCATATGGGGTATGGTTTTGGATACAAGAGTTGTCAGACAAACTAGGCGGATTGGTTGAGTGGTTAACACTCCGGCCTTTCCAGCAGGCGGCTGGGGTTCGATCCCCGAAGTCGTCGTATGCATGGATATTCAGAGAAAGTGTTTTTCTCCTTCCCACACAACTCCAACAACCCAGGTGGAGTATATATTGGTCTGGGGTGGATGCTGCGGTATCTGTGCTGTAGCATTCAAGTGAAGTGGCACTATAAATGATGCCTTTGGAAGCACGGTCCCACTACAAACAGAACACTTTACATCTCCAGCACACACGCAGGCATGCACACATAGGGAGATATTAGCCAGGTGGCATGGGACTAGTAGTTAGCGCCTGATAAGGCAGCCATCTGCGAATTCCTAAAAACATTGTATTGATTTATGAATATGATAATTGTATTAATTGTATATCTATGTTCTGTAAAAGCGCTTTAGAGTGGCTTATGTTAGATAGATAGGGCCGCTATATCAAACGTTGTATATTATTATCATTACAAAAAGGAATGAGGTATTAATTGTACATTGTATGTAGGGTATTAGTAAGATATGGAAAATCGTGAGAGATTAAACAAAGAACGATAATACATGGTAAACAACGGTATCCAGATATGCATACTAGGTATGGTATGTTATGTGATGAGATATGTTTTCAGAAAAGTGGAATTCAACTACATGACAAAGTAAGCATACCCCTACATTACCATAAACAGCTGATGTGACTAGTGTATCTAGATTAACTTTTGTATATGCAACTTCTTCTCTGGCAATAGTAATTAGCATCAGTACAAAGTAAACAAGTATACATTTAATTTAACCGACATTTATATGCTACTTTTTATTTTTTCACTTCCAACGTTTCGTATAATGAAACCTACCATAGAAGACAGATTTAAAGGCAGAAATCCCTGCAATAATTATAACCATTATCATTTTCGGTTAAAGTACAACCAATATTGATTAAATTAATTAAAGGAAAGACAGAATTGTAAGTAAAACGGTAGAAAATTAAATGTTGTTTGAAAATTAAGATTTAATGTGTTCTCCAAAACAGCGCCATCGCCAGCGTACATTCAGGGTACTGGTTACATTAAACAATTTATGAAACAAAATGTTAACAATAGAACCTTTGAGTACATCGTGCTAGTTTTTGTTACACCTGACATAAGTTTGCATGATCTGTGTTCAGTAAAGTTATCTAACAAAGGATATATTTTCAATAATAAAAGTAGCGTACCCATGTTAAAGTTTACCATATAGTAGCACTAGCATAGGGAGCCTATGTTTGAGGATAATGTATCTACCTGGATCTACATAAACAACGTCTACCCTTTTCCCAAATCACGTGACAAGGAACAAGCGGTAGTATCTAGTGTTCATATTTTCCGATCGATCAGGTTAGATAAATAAATCTCTACCAAACTGTGTTTACACCCAGACAATGTCAAATTCAATACAACTAACAACGAAGGGGGCTAAAGAACAAATGTAGTGCACCCCATTGATTCGTCATTATGTTTCACTACAGTCAAGGTATTTGATATCACCAGCCACCATTTGCATGTAAAGCATATTCATTAAAATTACAAGTGCGCGCCATTATCGACTGTTTATTACGCAGGTCATGTTATAAAAGGCTCGATCAATTGTGTATTCATGTTACATCCGGGAATGACGAAATCAATGGGTGAATTGACAGCATAGTGGCAGGATTCCAAATCAGACGTAAACAGACCGGGTAACAGGGTGGTTCGCCTCCTCATCACCGATATGTAGTCGAGGATACGTGGACGTTAGAACAAACGAGGAAGGCATGGCAGTGTTCATTCTCCTACTTGTTCTTTGCCTGGGCATTCCTGCCAGTGTGACAGCAGGTGAGATCTACTTTCATTCGATGTATGATGACAAAGTTTCGCCATCTAGATAATTACATCTAGAGTCATTATAGCTGTCAGTATACACAGATACGAACTTGTTATTGTTGATGCTTATAATGTTAGTGTTTTACATTCCATCAGAGATATACAAAAAATACCATTGTTTATCTCACCTATATCGTCAATGCAGTGCAGATCTGTAGAAAGTAATTTACGATTTTATTTGCATGTGGGAATATATCTTGGAACTTTGACCAATCAGAACGATAATCTCTGCTCATTGCATTCAAAAACCGTACTTTTTGCAGTTTTATATGAATTACAAATGTATTTGGTTGTTAGGTTACACATTTGTTCTATACATTATTCTAGTTTAATTAACAAGACGGTTGACAACATTTTGGAGAATCTGAACAGATAATAGCAGATAAAGGTAGAATAAGTTAGAAAACACTTTATAATGGCGCCATCCTTGCTTTAAGGTGCAATTTCAAGAGCTTGGTGTTTAATATTCCGCTACTTTTTCTGCACTTTTTAAACACTTTTACATTTCGTCGTTGTGATTTGAAATGAAATTGATAGAAAAAGAATACGCTTTTTCCCATACCATGCATATTTCACAACTACGGCAGAATACTCTTATATTTAAACCTTGCTTCGGGCTACTCAATATATCGAAATTCGACCATACTCGTTAGATATATATAGTATCCAACAGAAAACCATTTAATATCCTATATATATCATTTATAATATTCGTCTAAAGTTTATATACTTCCAAATCTAGTATATGAATATATTTAACGACCAAAATGAAGTCCTCTTTAAATAAATATACATTAAACTTATAGTTTTTATATAATAATATCACAAGGTGTTGTATGCCTGCAAAACGGTGTGTTTCTACATATTTATATTTTCTGAGAAAATGAATATAGAATTATTCTATAAAGTTTATCTATATTTATCATAGATCCCTGTTTGACATACGAGAATTTCACCGCCGACTCAACACGATCGCCTAGCCACGTAGAATCTGTGTACAATAACAAGAATTGTGATGCAGTCCTCACTGAGAAATGGTACAGATTGATAGGAGACGCGGGCACTGACCTGACTAATGACAGTAGTGTTTTAGTTTCTGGTGGATGTGGGACGCAGTATCAACTCTGGATGAATGGTGAGTAACTTTACAGATAAAGCAATACAATTATTGTATTTACAATAGAGGAAGAAAAAAAGAAGGTTCAGATTGATAACATCACTATAGTACTTCCAGATCCAAAACTATCAATTTGTGAGGATATAAGTTAAACAAACGGCCAACACTATAGTATACTGGTACACAACAGTACACTATTACGTGTATAAGTAATAAAAAAAATGTAACACATGAATGTGTCCCATAGCCAATTTTCGAACAGAAAAGGAATACAAAGTAAAATGTGTGATGTATCTTAATTACAAAAGAGACAGATGAAACTTAAATCCTTAATAATTATCTGCACGTTCTATTGTCCATAGTTCTCGAGAATGTATGGTCAGTGTAAATTATACCTAATAGAGCTATATGGTGAACAGATACAATTTGAGAACAATTATCTATCGCATGAACAAATAACAATTCATTTTGCATACAATATGAGATATATCGTTAGTATTTTACCATCACTGTAAATGACTTGCCGGTTGTTTCATTATAAAAATCGAACTTGACATGTGCTATCTATACATCTACATGTATGTTACGTAATGCAAATGTATCCCCATTTCCTTAACAGACACCATGCCAGATGTTTCAGAGGGAACCGTAGATAGAAAGATCTGCATGACGTCACCCTTCTCAAACTGCCACAGTTCTTTCACCGTCCAAGTGAAAAATTGTTGCTCTTTTCGAGTTTATAATCTCAAGAGTGCAACTAGCTGTCCTCAGGCATACTGCGTCAGTAAGTAACTTCAATCATGATGTTTATTGTTACTTTAATTTTCTTGGTAAGTAAATCCTTCTTAATTCATGTTTTGATTCATGCTAAAATACCATATATGCTAGGATTATGTTAACATACTTAACCCAGATTCATTTGAATTATTTAAATGTTTTTAAAAAAATGCTGATGATTGATTCTATTTGTTTGCTTTTCGTAGTTTGTGAACCGCTTTGAGAAGACCTACGAACTAGGTTGTGTTAAAGCGTTATGTAAGAACCTCTAATTATTGTTACTGTTATGTTATTGTATTCGTTTTATTACAAAATGTTTTATGAATGAATTACCTTCCAAAGGAATGAGAAAAAAATGACCTAATTAAGAAGTTCAACTTTAATATGTGATTTCGTCATCATGATAGATCTGACGATGACGACACATTAACATATATCTTGACGAGAACTCTATAAATGTTTAGGCCCCAGTTCTGTTCCTCCTCTCGACTGCCCTACTACTACGAGTACAACGGCTGGAACAACAACTACAGCTGAGGATACTACTACCAGTGTTTCTACGACGACAGAAACCACCACACAAACAACTTCCAGTGTTCCTACCACGACAACAACCACCACACGAACTACTGCGACCAAAACAAAAACTCGTAAGTAAGAGCTTGTAACTTTAACTTTATTATGTGTTGCGTTTTTGTACCGAAATTATTTCTTTCAATTCCCAAACCTCCACTCCTTTTTAGCAGTAGTTTAGATCTATTTGATTTCCTTATTTTTTGGCCCAATCGATTTGTTCGTTGGGTTTCTATCTTATTGCGATTAAATAAAACGTATAACGGCTTCACCTGAACTTTTCAGTATTTATTTTTTTAATGTTCAGGTGAAGTAATTACATATTTCAAATGGCCCCTGTACAATCAAAACAGGGTGCATTGCAATGTCATATTGGTGTTTACGTCACAGGCTGTCGCTGTGTTACCTTCAAAATGTCACATTGGTGTTTATGTCACAGGTTGTCGCTGTGTTACGTTCACAATGTCATATTGGTGTTTACGTCACAGGCTGTCGCTGTGTTTGCGTCACAGACTGTCGCTGTGTTACCTTCACAATGGCAGCAGTGAAAATAAAAAGCGTAATGTGCTTTCTATGTTATATTCCTGCAGTATTAGGAAAAGTAACTGTCTTCAGTGTTTTTAGTTGTCCATGTAAACAGATTGAATAATCTTAAGTGTTTTGTGCTGTCCGTGTAAGCAGATTGAACAACTGTCAGTGTTTTGTGCTGTCCGTGTAAGCAGATTGAAAACCTTTCAGTGTTTTGTGCTGTCCGTGTAAGCAGACTGAACAACTATCAGTGTTTTGTGCTGTCCGTCTAAGCAGACTGAACAACTTTCTGTGTTTGTGCTGTCCGTGTAAGCAGACTGAACAACTATCAGTGTTTTGTGCTGTCCGTGTAAGCAGACTGAACAACTTTCAGTGTTTGTGCTGTCCGTGTAAGCAGATTGAACAACTTTCAGTGTTTTGTGCTGTCCGTGTAAGCAGATTGAACAACTTTCAGTGTTTTGTGCTGTCCGTGTAAGCAGATTGAACAACTTTCAGAGTGCTGTGTTGTCCGTGTAAGCAGATTGAACAACTTTCAGTGTTTTGTGCTGTACGTGTAAGCAGATTGAACAGCTTTCAGTGTGTGTGCTGTCCGTTTAAGCAGATTGAACAACTCTCGGTGTGTTATGCTGTCCGTGTAAGCAGACTGAACAACTTTCAGTGTTTTGTGCTGTCCGTGTAAGCAGATTGAACAACTTTCAGTGTTTTGTGCTGTCCGTGTAAGCAGATTGAACAACTATCAGTGTTTTGTGCTGTCCGTGTAAGCAGACTGAACAACTGTCAGTGTGTTGTACTGTCCGTATAAGCAGATTGAACAACGTTCAGTGTTTTACGCTGTCCGTGTAAGCAGATTGAACAACTGTCAGTGTTTTGTGCTGTCCGTGTAAGCAGATTGAACAACTGACAGTGTTTTGTGCTGTCCGTGTTAACAGATTGAACAACTTTCAGTGTGTTTGTGCTGTCCGTGTAAGCAGACTGAACAACTGTCAGTGTTTTATGCTGTCCGTGTAAGCAGACTGAACAACTATCAGTGTTTTGTGCTTTCCATGCAAACAGATGGACGATTCTGCAGTGTTGCATGTTTAAACTACCCTCAGTGTTCGCTTAATTGCCTTTAGTTCCACACTTTATGGACAAAATAATTTTACTTAGTTGTATTTACATTTCTCTTCAGGCGACAAGCATGTGACGGTTGTGAACACCATCAGCACTGATATCATCATAACTGTAGTTGTCCTGTTAGTGGTCATCACAGTGATACTCATAGGGTAAGATATGATTTAATCAGAATTTTCCATATTATCACCTAATTGTTATTTCTCCTTAAAAAGGTGTTATATATCTTCACATATATGTACATATCACCATTGATTGGGAAGAACAAAATAATATTTTATTATCATCGAATATCACCACATAAAAACTTTCAGTATAAATATATTTATTTGTAATAGACAAAAATATCCTTTAAACATTGTCAACTTCTTGCTTTGAACATTAATCAACCATTGTGTTGCATGATGGTATTGATATTTATTATAAAGGAGCAATCATACAAACGCGTCTTAACGACAATGAATGTCTGTCTGGCCAAAATCTATGGTTACCATCATTATTTGCAGAACTGCCGTATACAAATCTTACAAGTGCAGCAAAGTGGACACAGAGAAGCAGTCGGCATATTTTACTCCTGTTCAGTACTATACACAAAATGCCTACATGGAAATCTGCAACCCGGCTCAAGTAGTGGAAAAGGGCGGGTTCAATAACAGTGCGCCTGCCAATACCCGCCACATGTAATACTATCATGACAGAAAAGATGCACACTCTTTCTAGAGGAGTACATACATGTATCAAACAACTGTCATGAGAACTGTCAGCAACATTTTTGTTTATATAATTTGTCGTTTCATTAATTATTGCTTTGAAAATTATTTTGTTTTAAAAATGTTCCCAAAAATTTACAAAAAAAAAAAAAAGGAAATGAAAAAAAAAAAATAAGGTAAAATGTGATTCACGTACTGTCTGTATTTAGCAAATGTCTTTATATTACCTGCCTTAGACTGGGTACATAAACAAAAAATCGTTATATTACCTGCCTTAGACTGTGTGCATAAACAACCAATATTTATATTACCTGCCTAAGACTGTGTGCATAAACAACAAATCGTTATATTACCTGCCTTAGACTGTGTGCATAAACAACCAACCTTTATATTACCTGCCTTAGACTGTGTGCATAAACAACCAATCTTTATATTACCTGCCTTAGACTGTGTGCATAAACAACCAACATTTATATTACCTGCCTTAGACTGTGTGCATAAACAACCAATCTGTATATTACCTGCCTAAGACTGTGTACATAAACAACCAACCTTTATAGTACCTGCCTTAGACTGTGTGCATGCACAACAAAACGTTATATCACCCGCCTTAGAATGCGTGCATAAACAACAAATCTTTATATTACCTGCCTTAGAATGTGTGCATAAACAACCAATCGTTAAATTAACTGCATAAGACGGTGTCCATTGACGAGCAATCATGTCATCATTCTCATTGAATAAAGCTAGCTGTATTCGTGTGTGACATCTTTCCCTATTCTTTTTGTTTGCCAGAAACCAGAAATAGACATCATTTTACTACCGCCAAAGTCTTATAAAGTAATGCTTGTCTATGGCTTTAACCTGAGTTTAGACGTACAGTCAAACCAGAAATAGACATCATTTGTTTACAACTGCAGTTCAATTTGTATGAAATAGCGTCAATAACTATCCCGAGTATATTATGAAAGTCAAACGAACCTTTAAATAAATAATCTTTTCTATAGCTACATGTATCTCCAACATTTAAAGCTACACTCTATTACCTGGCAATAGCACCGGTCAAAATAACAACTTACGCCATCTGTCTAAGGCTACCATCTGTCCATAACTACTTCCTCTCTAAAGCTACAACCTGTCTTTACCTACCAACAGTCTATAGCGACCACCTGTCTTTACCTACCACCTGTACAAAACTATCACATGCCTTTGGAACAATATACGAGATTCTGTGATATTTGTGCCAAATACAAACTGTTTTGAAATAGACCTGACAAGTTTTGGGATAACCAAGACCTGGTTTACAATTACAGAGACGAATTTTCAATATGAACTGATGAAATTTAATGAAATTTAGCTGTATTTGTTTTTTATGATACATTGTACATTTTGTTAATTTCATTAGTATCAGCATGTACTATGTATTGTATTTTTTTTAGTCCGGTGAAGAAGATTGTTCAATTCCTAACCTAACCTTAGCTTGTCTATAACTACCACCAGTCTATAACTACCACCTCTCTGTAAATATTACCTGTCTATAACTACCACCAGTCTATAGATATCAAATATCTGTAACTATTACTTGTCTATAACAACCACCAGTCTATTGATATCACCTCTCTATATATATTGCCTGTCTAAAACTACCACCAGTCTATAGCTATCACATCTCTATATCTATTACCTGTCTATAATTACTACCTGTCTATAGCTATCACCTTTCTATATCTTTAATCTGTCTATAACTACCATAAGTCTATAGCTATCACCTTTCTATAGCTATATAGCTATTATCTGTCTATAACTACTACCTGTCTATAGCTATCGCCTTTCTATATCTATTACCTGTCTATAATTACTACCTGTCTATAGCTATCACCTTTCTATATTTTTTACCTGTCTATAACTACCGTAAGCCTATAGCTATCACCTTTCTATAGCTATATAGCTATTATCTGCCTATAACTACTACCTGTCTATAGCTATCGCCTTTCTATATCTTTAACCTGTCTATAACTACCATAAGTCTATAGCTATCACCTTTCTATAGCTATATAGCTATTATCTGTCTATAACTACTACCTGTCTATAGCTATCGCCTTTCTATATCTTTAACCTGTCTATTACTACCATCCGTCTATTTAGCTTCTTCCTCTCTGTAGTAATTACATGCCCACTTGTCTATAAAATAATGTAGCTATAGTACACAACACCTGTCTATGATATGTTTATTTTACTTGATCAGAGTTGTTATCATCATAACAGTCAGGCTAGCTTCAGAAAACACTCCTTTACAAATACAACCTTTATTTTACATTCTGGTTTTCGTATTAAAAAGCTTACATTATCGCTCAGTTTTCATTAACGCTTGCATATTGATATGGATTTAAAATTAAATGCTAATTGAAACAGCGTATATCTGCAAATTTTGTAACGATTTCCTATCCAGAGCATGCTAATTAGATTAAAGATTTATATATTTACAATCATGGTGTTGCCGCTTTATATTGACAGCAGACGATACGGTACGATTAGTTTTTAAAACAGAAAATACTAAAGATATCTTGTACCTTATAATTAGCTATGATACGTTATAATTACATTTATGTATGTAATGGCTCATTCGTGCAAAAAATGTCAAGGTTTCTCCTTCTGACTACTGCCAGATGTTTGTTTAGACATTTTATGTCTTACATTATCAATCTAAAAACATAGTCTCAACAAGGTTGTAGTTATAGAGGTTACACAACGAGTGGTTGTTGACTATGGTATTTATTTCACTCGAATTAGTTAATTTTCAAAAGTTACAAAAGACACGGGCTTTAGCGAGTGTCTTTCTGTAACTTTTGGAAATTAACTAACGAGAGTGAAATAAATACCATACTCAACAACCACGAGTCGTGTGATCTGTTTCAACCACAATCTCATGATCAGTCGGAAATAACATACACACATGTGTTTGTTGACAAGGCTGGCGTAGTGATATGACCCATATGAAAAAAGTCACTCATTAATATTCAAATAAAATAGATGAACGGCTTTAAATATTGAGAGTAGTAGTATTGCATTAATTTATATAAATTAACCACGGACTATATGCGCGTAATCATATCGTACGAAGTCTGCCTCCCGCCAAGTGATGAACCATTGTAGACGAACTTATCGCTGTCAATATCCAAAACCATTGGCCTACGTTTCTAGGCCTACGTTTTTTCGTGACGGTTCTGTGGTTGACGTTTATAGTGAAAGCTCAGCCATAGTCAGACCGTCTAAATAGCGATAATGGGACGTTGGGAGAACGAAATGTTTCCCGACACTGTGACAGATCTTGTTTTGGTTTCACGACCTGCACACGCGATGGTGTGACGTCGAAACGATATCGAGCGTCTGTAGCAATTTTGCCTGAAACTAGCGATCAAATCTTTAAGCATCATCTTTTAATATTGCCTTAATAACCACCATGTCCGCATAACCTCACAAAGTCACCAACATTTGTCGGATGTTGACAGCCGACGACGTAAACAAAACAGCAGGTGGCAAAAAGCACGTGGAAAAAGTCTTCCCGGTCAAAGTTCATCTCGACCAGTCAAAACTCTTGAAGGTCATATATAACTCATATTTATCTAACAGTCTGCGTGTTTATACAATTATCTGAGAGTGGAATAACACAGCGTATTGTGGTAGAAACTTTGGTATTTACTTGATTGTACTGTTATTTGGAGGCTATCCCACAACAACACTCTTTTGTTATACTGTACGTGAACACTCACGCGACCTATGGAAATACACAGTTGGTGTCATAGCAACAACCAAAACTTCCTGGTGTACCGTATTCTTTTTTCTTCTTCTCCAAATATCATGTATATCTCATGTAAGTGTATATCTGCACGTGTTTCAGAACATTGTTAGAATATGTTGTCTTTATTTTTCATTTTGACTACTAATGACAACTTTTAAATGGACGAAATGAGCATACATTTTATGGAGCAGAAACGGTTTCACTGTTACTGTGTTTGCTGTCCTATATGGATTTTCTGTATTGTTAAATAGGTACTTCCTGGTGTAGTATTTCCATTTGTTGCTCTGCTAAGCAGATAGAGTTCTGGTCCGTATGCTGCTGATATATTTGTTAAGAAAACATGACATAAGTTATTGAATATAGCTCTATTGTGGTGTTTTAGGGATAAAGAAATACAAATATTCAAATTTTGCTCTCGTTTAAATTATTTCGCTCAGTTTGCAGCACACTAGAGGAATGTTAAAGTATAAAACTATCAAAACGGACACTAAGTCATCTTGTATTTCATTTTTTCTGGAGGATAAAAGATATGCATGTGTTTCTCCAATATGAAGGATAAGACTCCATCAATACTATCATCAAACGTATAAAACATCAAGGTTTCCAAGCCAACACTGTATATAACAGAAAGTGGACGGTATACACACAACACTGTATGTAATAGAAAGTAGACGGTATACACACAACACTGTATGTAATAGAAAGTGGACGGTATATACACAACACTGTATGTAATAGAAAGTGAACGGTATACACACAACACTGTATATAATAGAAAGTGGACGATATAAACACAACACTGTATGTAATAGAAAGTGGACGGTATAAACACAACACTGTATGTAATAAAAAGTGGACGGTATACACATAACACTGTATGTAATAGAAAGTGGACGGTATACACACAACACGGTATATAATAGAAAGTGGACGGTATACACACAAAACTGTATGTAATAGAAAGTGGACGGTATACACACAACACTGAATGTAATAGAAAGAGGACGGGATAAACACAACACTGTATGTAATAGAAAGTGAACGGTATACACACAACACTGTATGTAATAGAAAATGGACGTTATAAACACAACACTGTATATAATAGAAAATGGACGGTATACACACAACACTGTATGTAATAGAAAATGGACGTTATAAACACAACACTGTATATAATAGAAAGTGGACGGTATAAACACAACACTGTATGTAATAAAAAGTGGACGGTATACACACAACACTGATGTAATAGAAAGTGGACGGTATACACACAACACTGTATATAATAGAAAGTGAACGGTATAAACACAACACTGTATGTAATAGAAAGTGGACGGGATACACACAACACTGTATATAATAGAAAGTGAACGGTATAAACACAACACTGTATGTAATAGAAAGTGGACGGGATACACACAACACTGTATGTAATAGAAAATGGACGGGATAAACACAACACTGTATATAATAGAAAGTGGACGGGATAGACACAACACTGTATGTAATAGAAAGTGGACGGAATACACACAACACTGTTATATAATAGAAAATTGAGGTATAACACAACACTGTATATAATAGAAAGTGGACGTTATAAACACAACACTGTATATAATAGAAAGTGGACGTTATAAACACAACACTGTATATAATAGAAAGTGGACGTTATAAACACAACACTGTATATAATAGAAAGTGGACGTTATAAACACAACACTGTATATAATAGAAAGTGGACGGAATAAACACAACCCTGTATATAATAGAAAATGGACGGTATACACACAACACTGGATATAATAGAAAGTGGACGGTATACACACAACACTGTTATATAAGAGAAAATTGACGGTATAACACAACACTGTATATAATAGAAAGTGGACGTTATAAACACAACACTGTATATAATAGAAAGTGGACGGTATACACACAACACTGTATGTAATAGAAAGTGGACGGTATACACACAACACTGTTATATAATAGAAAATTGACGGTATAACACAACACTGTATATAATAGAAAGTGGACGGTATACACACAACACGGTATATAATAGAAAGTGGACGGTATACACACAACACTGTATATAATAGAAAGTGGACGGTATCAACACAACACTGTATATAATAGAAAGTGGACGGTATAAACACAACACTGTATATAATAGAAAGTGGACGGTATCAACACAACACTGTATATAATAGAAAGTGGACGGTATAAACACAGCACTGTATATAATAGAAAATGGACGGTATACACACAACACTGTATATAATAGAAAGTGGACGGTATAAACACAACACTGTATATAACAGAAAGTGGACGGTATCAACACAACACTGTATATAATAGAAAATGGACGGTATAACACAACACTGTATATAATAGAAAATGGACGGTATACACACAACACTGTATGTAATAGAAAGTGGTCGGTTTAAATCCAACACTGTATATAATAGAAAGTGGACGGTATAAACACAGCACTGTACGTAATAGAAAGTGGACGGTATACACACAGCACTGTATATAATAGAAAGTGGACGGTATACACACAACACTGTATATAATAGAAAATGGACGGTATAAACACAACACTGTATATAATAGAAAGTGGATGGTATAAACACAGCACTGTATGTAATAGAAAGTGGACGGTATAAACACAGCACTGTATGTAATAGAAAGTGGACGGTATACACACAGCACTGTATATAATAGAAAATGGACGGCATAAACACAACACTGTTTATAATAGAAAGTGGACGGTATAACACAACACTGTATATAATAGAAAGTGAACGGTATACACACAACACTGAATATAATAGAAAGTGGACGGTATAAACACAAAACTGTATGTAATAGAAAGTGGACGGTATACACACAACACTGTATATAATAGAAAGTGGACGGTATACACACAGCACTGTATATAATAGAAAATGGACGGCATAAACACAACACTGTATATAATAGAAAGTGGACGGTATAACACAACACTGTATATAATAGAAAGTGAACGGTATACACACAGCACTGTATATAATAGAAAGTGGACGGTATACACACAACACTGTATGTAATAGAAAATGGACGGTATACACACAACACTGAATATAATAGAAGGTGGACGGTATAAACACAACACTGTATATAATAGAAAATGGACGGTATAACACAACACTGAATATAATAGAAATTTAATGTATGTGTATAAATCGCCACACCTATCCTTGGTGTCACGGTCAAGGTATTACGTAAGTTTGGATAACAATGACAATTTCACGTCAGACATATAATACGGTGTCCTCCCAACCTTTATTTACATATCAGTAGACAAAATAGAGCTATAAATAGAAGATATGTTCTTCCTGGTTCTGAGTTCCTATTCAATGTACAACGTGTACGTAAAATGTGATAATCAACAAAGCAGAGGTCTAAATACGTTTAAGTATTCGTTTGTGTACCAACAAAGACCCAATCATTATGAATGCATAGGTAACTGAGGAGAAGTCTAGACTACAGGGCGTTTAACGTAAACTTCGTCTCATTTCTCTAATAACAGGCTCAAAAATTGAAAAAAAACCCAGAAATAAGCTTGAAGGATATTCAAATTAGCCATTAGAATATAACTTTTTTTAATTATGAAGTGGTTTGTCTACGCTGTAAAGTTAAAAGTATTAATCATCTTAATACATTTCGATTAAATATTCGGTTACTTAATCTCCCTGAACGATAATAAGTAAATGTATTCAATGACGATTGAACCTTACCACTGTAGATATGATGACGTTAAAAACAAAATTTAGTAGCACTGCTTATATAACAATTTCGCATCTACAAATTCAACACTGCACGAATTTAATATTATTTTTAAGGATTAAGTCAAAACACTTAACCGTATTCAGGTCTTGACCCTCAGGGACACATTTTCATTCCAAAGTT